CAGCCAGTGATGTGGGCTGGGGGAATTCTGGGAGTTGAAGTCCACACATCTTAGAGTTGCCACTGAAGTCTTTAAAGTGTACTTTTAGACATTAAGAACTTGGCATTGAATTGTAGGAGTTACAAACTTTTTTTTTTTAAGGCAGCTGTTGGTCTCAGGTATTCTTATTATTAAAAACAATGGAAGTACAGTATCAACTGGAATAGACCTGAGGTCTAATTTAACACTGTGGCCATATTTATACATAGGAGTAGGATTCTCAGCTTATACCACAGAGAAGTATGCAGAATGTTAACTTTTCTTCCCTCTTCCTGTTTATATATATGGATAAAACAAATCAGATTAAAGTTTGCTGTGACATCCAATCCTAGCATCCTGCTTTGTTGGGTCCAAACAAGCTAGCAAACAATGGTTTCAGGTAATTTTGTTTGTTTTCAACATGCTATGCAGACTCAGTAAATTGTAATGTATTTAGTAACAGTTAAGCATACCATGAGTTGGTCTGATACCTAAATCAGGACAATGTTTATTGCTAACACTGCCCTATTTTTCGATAGCACAACACTTCCCAGGGACTGTTTGTGACCTGCAGGGATATTGCAACCAATATGGAGTGAAGCTGGAGTTGGAAGAGAGAAAGTGTTGTGGATTGCATCAACAGAGTTAGGGTGTGGCACCAGGTTTTTATTGTTTTATTTTTAATTTTTTGGTATGAAACTGTTTTTATATTATGGTTGTGAGCTTCCCAGAATTCTGGTTCTAAGATGGGCAGCCATACAATGTTATTTATGTTATGTTATGTTATGTTATGTTATTTATGTAATTTATGTTTTAAATAAATAAATAAACTGATCCCTGGTTCAGTTCCAAAATAACAATAAAAGTATTTTCTCCCCAAAATCTTAGAAATTCATCAAATTTTGCAAGATTTCAGAGTCCTTGAATCTTATGGGATTTTCATGTTCTTGCCCAAGACTTCATGAGATTGCAATAAGAGTTGTGAGACTTTGAACATTTTATTTAATAAAATTTAAATTTGGAATCTCACAGGCACCATCTGAGGAGGAGGTCTCATGTACTATGCTTTTGAGCACTACCATGGTTTTGAGGACCATGTAGTAGTCTGCATTAAGGATAATGTAGAGAACTATTGATACAACATAATAACTTTTCCCTTTCTTGGATTTTTTTATCAACCTATGAGATGGGAGGAGTGAATAGGCTTCATGAACTAATGCATTTTTCATAACCATCCAGGATAAACTTGGCTTATTTTTATGTAAAACTACAATCTCAATTTCTACCTGTGGCCAATTAGATGCCCTGGAAAGCTAAAACAGGATATGTCTTTCTCTAGATAACTGTAAAACAGCAATAGAGTAGTACCACATATATGTTTCATAGAAACAATGACAGGGAACAGCAGTTGGTGGTTGAGCAGGTATCTGGTATCATGGGAAGACAATGCAATTTTATTTTTTTTTAAATGAACATTACTTTTACTTGTAAAATCATGCAAATAAGAAAGTCTGTTTGATTTGTATAAATTATACTGATGTCATAACTCCGTTTGATTTAAAAAATGTTGATTATACTAAAATGTAAGTTCAGCAAATTATAAATCAAGGAAAAACCCATACAACACTCTGCTGAAGTTCATTCACATCTTCTAGGGTTATTTTATTTTTTATCCTCAGATAGAAATAATATTAAAAATATATCAGAACTGGGAAAATTTGTAGCATTCTGTTTTAGCTACCTTTACAAAAGGAAACAATCTGCTAAATTTGTCTATAACATTGGCTTTATCAACAGAATGGAAGGGAAACTCTACCTGCTGCTGGATTTCAACTCTCATAATCTCTAAGCACTGGTCTATACCGTAGTAAGATTTTACCAGGTCTAAAACTCCGTATCACAAAAATAATATTATATAGCACTCTTCTTTCCAGAGGGAGTCCCATAATACATTTCAATGTGTTCTACAAATATTATCACAGGACCGAACCAGACATGTATCTGTTCTTAAAGCATGTTTTATCATGTTTAATATCAAATTATCATATTAAAACATGCTTATTAAAAACATGTTTACCTATAAAGCATAGAGAGACCCTACATTTAAAATAGCATGAATATGTGGAAGACAGGAATGATCCCTTCCTTCCCAACCATACCTTAGCACCTTTAAACCATTTTTCCCAGTGTAGCACAAATACTAGAAGTAAAGTGGATTGGTGTAAATCATTTCAAAATATCTGAATGTATCAAGGGATAGGGACCAAACCCTGATTTTGCTTCTTTCCAGAGTGCATTCATTTGATATGAAATCTAGATATCACATTGCTCCAACTCTGCAGATAAATGGATATTTATCAGATAGACATATGCATTACAAACTCAGCATTCATACTTCCTACAAGAGTCTTGAGGACCTACAGGCATTATCCCCAGCCTTCTCTCATTAAGCCTGGCCACTTTCTGAATAGTACATACAAAAGAGCTGCTGGAAGATTAGCCACTAAGTTTGGCTTAGAGCCACTGGATTAGCCTCATAGCATGTTCGTATCACAACAGACTTATACTTTTTCCTCAGCCTGTTATGTGTCTTAAATTTTTCTTCCTCTTTAAAGTCCTGGCATCTCTGATACAATAGTGGAGGTTCCTGTAGAGCTGAATGATTCTGAGAAATTCAGCAGGTGCTGCTTCATCATGGGTACCGTTTGTACGTCATGGTAAGGGATGAATTGATTTTTATTCTAACAAACCCTGATTTAAAGCCCTTGAGCTTTCCATAGTGGGACAAGGCTGAAGAATCCACATAGTTTCCCCAAGCTTCCTTTTGTTTTTCAGAGTTTCAGTCAGAAGTCCTCATTGGCTCATTGGAGGAACAGGCACCCTCCAGATGCATTAAACTAAACTCTCATAAAACCCATCAATGTAGATAAGAGGATGATGGGAATTGTAGGCCCAGGTTGTCTAACTCTGTATTACAGGAACCATAAGTATCTCTACTGTTCCCTTTGTTCTTTGAGGCTCTGGATTTCTGCCTTTTGATCTGTCAGTATATGAGGTTGGAGATCTTGGGAAAAGGTAACATTGGAAGCTGCTTTGGAGATACCTTGGCATCACCCATAATATATGCTTTATCTCTGATTGTGCCCTAAGCCCAATTCCACTTCTGGCAAGATTTTCTATGGCCAGTTCATTGCCATTTTCAGAATGGCACCTCCCTCTCAAAACCTACTGCTGGCAGATGGAAGGGGGAAAAAAAGAGTACTATTAAGAGTAGGGCTGTGCAGCACTTTATCACAGGTACTTTAAGGAGTTGCCAAGGGGAGCTACATTTGGACCCCCACATGCTCCGAAGCACTTCTTATCTTCAAATCTGAAGCACTGCACAGCTCTAGCAAACAAACACAGAACAAGATTTATCCTGGACAGGAAAAAAGAAACTCACCTGGCTGTTTTCCACATCACGCTCATCTTCATTAATTAGAAGCATGTAGGGCTTTCGGGGCAGCCCTGGGGCCTTGATCCCCAAAACGAAGAGGGTGAAGGTGCTGATGTAACGCAGGAACCACAGGCTGAATTGGACCTGGGGGAGTGGATCTCAGGTCAGTGGCAATCTTCAGCAGCAGCTTCCCTTCAAACCTCCCCCCCGCCCCAAATCGCTACAAATCACGCAGTGCTTCTTCTCCAACACCCCACAGTCAAAAAGAGGAGAAGCTGGAATTTCATTGGCCAAACATAAACTCTAAAGCACTCAACCAAAGACTGGTACAACAAAGCAATGGTCAAATCACTGGAAATGCTAGTTTGTTAATACTGTAGCCAAGAATAATGAGAACTGCATTAGTTACAAAAAGCCCCCACATTTTTTGTAGCAAATCCCAAAGGCAGTCCCTCCCAGTAGCTTTAGGGAGCATTTAGTGGCAATCCTGACCCTGAGGCACTCCATTCCACTACCTGGTGGAAAGTGCTTCCTGTTGCTCCTTGACGCCTCTTCCTGTCCCATAAGGCCTGCAATTGCAGCTCAGGGGCTCTAGGGGAGCTCAGTCATGTGACCGAGCGAGCAGGGCAAGAGAAGGGATCAGGGGCGGGAGAGGCTAGCTTTTACACGTGGGCTGTGACACAGGTGGGGGGACGAGACTCCAGGGACCCTCTCACTGGCAGTTTGCTCTCCAGTGACAACCTGTGCAGGCCAAATATTAATACAGTACAGGGAGTCCCTGGGTTAAGAACACCCGGTTTAAGGACGACCCATAGTTAAGAATGGAGCCTGCTGTAGCAAAATTTGAGTTAAATAAGTAATGATTTGCATTAAATACACAATCGTTCGAGTAAGTTATACAATACTACTTATACGGTATTATACAATAATACTGTTCTGGCTTACATACAAATTTGACTTAAGGACAGACCTTGGGAACGGAACTTGTTCCTAGCCTGGGGACTACCTGTACTGTACTGCTGCTGCTTCTCCTTGGCTACTTCTTGTACTAGGGTATCCTTAACTTACAGCGACCATACTTTCTTTATTTCAGAAAGCTGTCCTTTAGACTTACTGAATTTAAATATTTATTTTCTTGGTTTTGCTCTTGAATTTTCCTTTGTAAAGCAAAGTTATAAACATAAACCATTTCTTTTCTCCTTATGAACCTCTTCAGATTTGCCCCTTTCTCAGGTTTGTTCTTTATTTTTTTCCAAGAAAATATGGTCACTGTACCTTAACCTCACACAATATGTAACAGGATAAGAAGCCAACAGCTGCTACTCCAGCTCTACCAGCCCTTATAAATTTATGGGGGACCCACCAGAGCTAGTTAGGCCCAAGTTCCCACACTTTTAAGGTGGCCGTATGGAGTGGCATAGCTGTACAGTATGGAGTGGCATAGCTGCCTACTCAGAGAAACAAGCCTAAGGTTGGCCTTCAGTAGTAATTCAAATACTGTAGGCAGCTTAGTAACAGATGCAAGTTACAAGGAGAAGACCCTGTGACCCTCCAGACATTCTTGGACTCCAACTCCCCACCATCTCTGATAACACTAATGCTATAATGTATTGACAGCCAGATTGTGAACCCGATATAAAGTGTTTAGTTTGTGATGTGCAGTAAACAGCAGAGGTCACAAACATGGGAAGGAAGCGATGAGCAACTCATTAATAAACCAGAGTTGCTTTTAAGAACGTGCGGTACAGATGGAATCACATCCTGTCTGGTTTTTCAGGTTTTAGGGCCAGGCAACTTGATCTTCAGAGAGATCCCCTTTTGCCTCACAGTATTTCTAGAGGGGAGGAGGATGCAGGCCCTCATCTCTTGTATATTTTTGTCAGTACAAAGAAATGAGAACTCAACTTGTGGGTAGACCTGCTTGGATAGGGAATTTGCATAGTCTCTTCCCCTTCTATCAGCATGTAAATAAGAAAGTGGCCTGCCCTCCTTGCCCTCATGTGAAACTGTTAATCAACAATGATTCAGCAAAAACATGTTGCCATGAGCAAGCTGAAAGAGAGAAAAGGGCAAGCAATGGCTTACACCAGCAGAAACTTCTTGCAGATTCACTCAATGTTAGCCCAATTCTAGCCTAATTCACTCAATTCTAGCCCCTCTTCCTCTTTAATTTCTTTTCTATAAAATTTCAGCTTATAAGTAATCTCTCATAATTCTCAAACTTAAAAAAAGAGAGTATCTGTCTCATGTATAGGATGGCTTCAATTGCCTGGCAGGTCAAAAGTCCCCACTAGCTGAAAAGGGGGGGAAAAAAACCTATCTCCCCCCCCATATTAATTGTAATACAATTAAAATGCGCTCCACACCAAAGTTGGCATTTATATTACCGACAATGGCTTGTATATTTAAGGCAGCCTGTGGGACATAATATCAACATGTCTCAATCAACATGTCTCCATACCAAATAATTTCTGATTTTTCTGTCTTCATTTGAACTTTAAAGTTATGAAGCCTTGTCTATTGAAAATATGGCAACTCAGTTCTACCTACATCCAGGAAGGATCAAATGAGGCTCAAGTAAGCAACTCATTATTGACTAAAAAAAAATTATTCTACTTTCAGAATAGAAGGTTACTATTTGTTCAATATAATTGATATTAGTGCACTTAGTGCTGCACGTTAAATCAATTTTTTGACTACTAACATGAACATGAGATCCAGTTTGGTCTAGTGGTGAAGGCACCAGGCTAGAAAGCAGGAGATGGTGAGTTCTAGGCATGAAAGCCGGCTGGGTGACTTTGGGCCAGTCACTCTCTCTCACCCCAACTCACCTCACAGGATGGTTGTTGTGGGGAAAATAGGAGGAGGATTGACTACTAGGTATGTTCTCTGCCTTGAGTCACTTATAAAAAAAATAATAAAGGTGGGATAAAAAATCTAAAAAAAAAAAACTGATTCAGATGGGCTGGGTTCATACATTTACTGAGTCACAGCTTGAATCATGTTTTATTGAAAAGCCTTAAGGCTTAGTTCACACATAAGGCCAAGTTATAAATTAATAGTAGAGAACATATGTTTTCCAAGATGAATAGCTTCCAACACTCTTTGCCACTGGCCCCTGCTTTAAGTCATGCTGTACAAGGCACAAAAGTTAGGCTCACTTACTGCCAGAGAAACTGTACCATCTTCCTACACCACAACATCCCCATGACCTTATCGCTGAGTCATCCTACCTTTTGGCTGGTGTCTTTTAATCCCCACCACCAGAGTGGGCTGTTCCAGGAGATGAAGGCCATATTCTCAAAAGCAAAAGCTAGAGCCCAGTAGAGGAGAAGGGTTGCTCCATGGCCTCTGATCCGATCCTGCACCATCACCCTGGTGCGTTCTAGGTGCAGCAGCCCAATTGAGGTGGCCCAGCTCATGGCTGACAAGCAGGCATTCAGCACCATATATCCATTCAGTTCTTGCACACCCAGCACTTGCCACAGGAAAGTGCAGAAGGGCATCAGGGTGAGGAACAGAGACACCAAAATTTGGGTATAGTACAGGCGGGAGCGAGGGATATACTTTGGCTCCATGGTGCGGCTGAACTGAGCATAACAGGTATACTGTAGGGCACCCAATAGGAGACAGACACTGAAGAGCACTGCAGGCACCAGCGTGAAGTAGAAGCAGGGGGACAGCCCCTCTTGAGCCCATGCCTGTGCCAGGGACTCATTTCCCTCACAATAGCTGTGTAACATCACCATCTTGGTGGGTGAGAAGCTGCAGAGACACCAATAAAAGAAACAGAGGGAGAAATTAGGAAACAAATTCAGACACATCACATAGAACTCCAACCCCACTGGCATGCCAAATTCTCTCCAACTTGTAACAGAAATGCAGATGTGAATTTTATTTCATTTATTCATTACTTATAGTTATACACCACCCACCTCCCAAGACTCCAGGTAATTTACAATAATAGGATTAAAAATCAAACTATAATTTAAAAAGCACAACCCTCAGCAACTGCCAACAAAAATAAGGCAGCAGCCCCGTCACCCCAAAATCACATCATGGGCGCAGCTATATTGGCATATAAATCTATACAGCCATGTGGCTGTCTACATTTGCTTTAGATGCTATCTTATTTTTTTATTATATCAACATCATCATCATCATCTTTAGGTATTCTGTATGTATTGACCAGGCTCAAATGATCTTACTTCAGACACATTATGAGAAGACCTAGCTTTCTGGAGAAGATTCTAATGTTGGGAAAGATGGAAGAAAAGAGAAGAGGATGACCAGCAGCAAGGTGGATGGACTCAATTACAGTGGTGATGGGAGCACCGTTGGAAGACCTGAAGTACCAGGTTAGGGACAGGTCATCACGGAAAAGATCTACCCATGTGGTCATTAAGAGTCGACAGAGGCTTGATGGCGCACAATCAAGGCTATGTGTATGATCCCCAACCTGCAATAGAGGCCAAGCCACTGAGGAATTTTGAGAGATGTAGTCTCAAGACATTTGGTGAGCACCTGGTGGGAAGAACTTCTGGGAACTGCAGAAAGTGCTTCTGTTATTGAACAGGAAAGAAATATTCTTTATAAACTTGTGTGGGTGTTGCTTTGGAGTAGACAGGAACTATATTGTGCTACCGGGGGTCAGGAAGCTTGTCTTCTGCATCTCTTTTGACTTCTCACTGACCTCAAGAGGCTAGATTTCCCATTGCCTGAATTTCTTGCCCAATTAGGATTCTGCTGTTTTGCCTCACTATCCTCTTTTCAGGGTCAGAAACATGATCTCTGCTGCTGCTGCTGCTGCTGACAAGACTGATATTTTTATGCCTTCCTGAGTGCCTATCTAGGTTTTACTCCTCCCCCGTTGTTTCACTGTGTCCTTTCAGACGACATTTAAATCGTACTTGAATGTTATGTTGTTATGACTACACTCTGCACGGGGTTTGCGGGCAACGCGCACACCAGCGCTGTGCAGTTTTCCTCAAGGCTATCCCCACAACAGCCATCAGCTGTTTCTCCAAGGGTTGTGAACTTTCACAGAGAAAATGGTGACTCGACCAAGGACGCTCCCGGGAACTCAAGGCTGAGCCTAACAGCGGGAGCTCTAGCCCAGGCCACGTGGGTTATGGTGACAGGCGCAGGACTCCCCGCACGCCGCCTTCCAGGTTTGCAGTAGCTGTCTGACCAGCGTTTTCAATCCAGTCTGGTGCTCTTCCACCGGATTAGGGGAAAAAACCCTCGGCACTAGGCGGAGCAGAGGGAAATGGCACGAGGCTCCGCATCCCTATCGCAGCGATGATCCGCTGTGCTCCATCTCCCATTATCCACAGCCATGACTGGCTTATCTGAGAGTACTCTACCCGATACCTTGTGTGGATCCCGCAATCGCCAGAAAGGGCTGGCGTGGAATCTGCTGAGAACGCAAAGGATCAACCGAGGGAGGGCCGTGCGGGGAGTCGGAGGCGAGGGTCTCCGGCCAGCTGTACAGATGGAAAGGCTGCCCCTCGGCGCGGTGCCGCAGATGGGTCGCGCGTCGTCCAGGCGCAGTGAGAATTTAGGGATTGCTCCGCGAAGAGGCGACCCGACCATTCACCTCGCCCCGTCCTGCTAGCCGGCAGAGGGACTCGGACGCTTCTGCTTTAGCCCATCCAGCCCCAGCCCCAGCCCCAGTGATTTTCAAATGCCTACCGGGTAACGTCCACTTGCTTGCGCGAGTGCCGTCCGGTGCAGCGCGTCTCCGCAGCGCAGCAGAAGCCGCGGCAGGCTGTGCGGGCTTCTCTCGGGCCTAAACACCGCCCACGTACAGTTCTTGCTAGCGGACTCCCCCTGGGTCTTAGCTGCCGCCCTTTCTCTCCTCAAACCAACCATCTGAGGATTCCGCGCGCTGTTTCATTTTTGTTGCTTTTCGACTGAAAATGAGTGGTCGGTGAAAAGCATGAAAGCAAATCCTACCCCCAGTTTTAATAATGGGCCAGTTCCGGCACCTGCCTGCCCCCTTCCCGTTGCTCCATAATAAAAAAAACAAGCACGTCAAATTTTAAGAAACAGAGCACGGTTTAATGGCCAGAGTTAGCACGATCTAGAGAATTTAGCGTATTCAGGCATGAGTTGCATTGAACTCAGACTTATTCCATAAAGTAAACGTTCATAGCAGCACAAGTTTAAACTGTGGAAACCGTGTTTAAGTTCAAGGTGGTTATGAAGGTAAAATGGGATTACATCTGCGTGCCAGGCTGAGATCATTGGTGGAAGGTGAAAATATTTATATGATTCATGCCCAGCTGCTATATACTGTTCATTACTTAATTGAGCCAAGGGCCCAATTTCAGCTCTGAAATACTGATGAAATAAAATAACATTTACATCTGAACATACAGTGAGGGTAGGGATACCACATATTGGCTGCAAACAGGGATGTTTGTAGGGTATGGTAAACAAATTCAGGATGGCAGCCATTAACAGCATGATTGAAACTTTGCCCATTTTTTAATGTGTGTTGCACACACGGTACACATCAAAAGTAGGCAAAGCTTTGATTACATCATCACAGCTGCCATCTTGACTTTTTTTACCATGCCCTGAGAACAACCCTGGCTGCAAGTAATCCAGATCACCACTAGATAGCAGCAAAGAGACACTGAAACTTCCTCCCCTTGCTTCCATCTGGTAATCAACCAGACTTTTGAAACCTAGTTAAGCATGCTTAGGGGAAGGACATTTTAAGAGGCAGAATGTGCTGTATTATGCGTCTAACCATCCCAGAGGATAATGTCTAATTCTATACATTTGGACTTTTAAGGAAGAAGAAATAAAAGATGACTTAATTTGTCCTGCTATACACCAAAAGGAGAGAGCTAGCCTAGGTTGTCATTTTCAGTCAACTACATAGCTGGAAATGTCTGAAAAAGCAGCAAAAGGATCCTTGCCTTCTACAAGGAATCCTATGGCGCTATCTACTATGGAATCCCCCAACTGTTTGAATCTCTTAATACTAACAGCCTGTAGATACGTGTCAATGAAACTTGTATCACAAAAACCTCTTCAGTTTTGACTTTCTTCCAGAGATGGTGAACTTTGGATAAGTGGTGGCACTTCTGAAAATTCTGTTGGATCTGGGGTGTGCACATGTAACATGGGCTTCAGCCTCAGAGGGCTCAATATTTATAGGGGTTCCCCCCTTACAAATAAGGTTTGTAAATCTTGGTTTAGAGATAACAATGCTAATTTTAACAGGAAGAATGAGCATATTACAAGTTCATTTTTTGAATGCCCATTATATGAAAATAGGCTCATCTTGTATTTCAACCCAGCAACTAAAATAGTTATGTTGGTTTGATGAACATCAAGATCCTTGGCTTGATTTGCAGGATATGTCTCATAAGCGTATTGGTGTATTGCATACTGCTCCCAGTTCGTGCTCTGTGGCATCCATGGCATCCATAGTTTGTACTCTCTCTCTATGATTTGCTCTGAAGAGGTGTAGAAACAAAAACAAAAAGGCACCCCAAAAAGCAAAAAAAGAGGGCAGAGTTTTGGATGCCCCTTCCCCAGTGATTTCATTATGTCACTAGACATAATCCTGTGCATTTCAGAGGCTGGGTAGGGGGAAAGAAGTCATAATGCCCAGCAGCTTAGAAAATCTTTTTTCCAAACTTTAAGGAATTTGTATTTTCATCCCAGAAGGGAATATCTGATCCACATATCATACTCCATAATTCCAGAAACAAAGGCAGAGCAAAAAACTGAAAGGTGTAAGTACCTCTATACCCCCACCCTCACCCCACTAAATAATCACATTCCTTTGTTTCTACCACCAGGCCCTATTAGGACTTGTTCCCAAAGTTATTCTAAATATTCAGATTAGGTACAGAGCTGGAAATTAGGGCTAATATTCAATTCTAATGTATCCCCATGGTGTGCAGTTATTATGCTGATCCATTCACCATGAATGTGTTTCACCATCTTTCCCCTTCAGATTGTGATTACATAAAAAACTAAAATCCAACGTATATTAAACAAGCTATTGTACATCTGCCTATATAAAGACTAGCCCCAGCATTCTGGTAGCACACAGCTCTGAATCCTTTGCAGTTACAGTCCAGACTGTGCTATATTCTTTGTACAATACTAGTTCTGCAATAGTACATGTAACCTATGTATTCAATAAGCACCAAAATCACTCTTGGTTTCCAGAAATGACATTCCAACTTAATAAGGTTTAATGAAATTGACGTGCCTTTTGATCTTCTAATTTGTGCAACACTTTTGACCTTCTAACTTGTGTATCTCAACACGGAACAATTAAATGAAGAATCACATGTCTTAACCATGTCTCATTCTCCAAGCAGTCAGTATTGAGAGACAGGTTTTATGCTGAGAGACACACCTTTGAGGACAAGCGCACGGAGCAGGATACTTAAGCCCTTACAATGAGGATGCACTTGACTTAAGCCCTTACAATGAGGATGCACTTGACCTAAGCACTCACACTCGCTGTGTCCGGTGAATTCAAAATGAATGCCATGTATCAACTACATGGTTAAAGTGATTTAAGATGGCATTTGAACTGGCATGATATGGTGAGCCTGAAATTTTGGGTAAAATGTAGCCCTTGCAGGTGGCTAAAAATAACCTTCTTTTCCTTCAATTTCTAATGTAAACTTGGCCATAATGGATAATCCCACACAAATGGCCAGAGCCATCAAAGAAGAGAACACCTCCTTTATTCAGTAGATACGGCACTATACAGGGTGCTGGACAACCAGCTCTGCTTTACAAACCACTTGCATTGTTCACGTACAGCCTGGCCTCCCTAATGCCACAAATAAAAGTGGAAGTAGAAGGTGGCCATTCCATGCAGATGCAGATGGAGCAAAGATAAGAAAAATGCGTGACTGCTAGTACTGCCTCCCCCATCTATCCTTTTGGCTAAGCTATATCA